TAATGCACGGAAGGGCGCCTGAGGTCTTCCTCCACCAGTAAAGCTGGAACGTCGCGATATGACCTATACTGTGTTGATGTGACGTAACACCCCCCCCCCCCCCCCAAAAAAACCACAAAAAAACAGCATAATTTGTGTTAAACTGAAAAGCAATAGTAACTGCAAAAAAATCGCTGTCGCTTGACCAAATAAAGTTAAAGATTGATTGGAAAAAAAATCCATTTCCATGTTTTCTAACAAGTTTTTACCTAAAATCAGTACAGTAATTTGATAATTGATTCAGAATTACATAAGAAGTTCGAGAAAGAGACCATTATTTTCCATGATTTTTTTAGATGCTGCCTTCTCCGAAATGCATTTTTTCTGGAATGTAACAGCCTTGAGATGTGTTGAATTCTTTTTAATTTGTACTCAAAAAAATATTAAAAGACTATATTTGGAATAAAATTGATGAATTAGACTCCTGCGATAAAACATTTTAACACAAACAGCTTTATTGTAAGTAATTCAAATGTCGCGTTTAAAATGCTATGCCTCCACTTTTAAATAATCAAATAAAAAAAATTGAAATATTGTTTTGTATTTCTTTAAATGAGAAACAACAAAATGAGATGTCATTTGCACAAAAAAGTGATCACTGTGACCTGTAGAAGTCTTATTTCACTATGTTTCCATAACGACTATTTTCCATAACAAAACGATCATCTGAGAGTACGGTTCAATTGACTGTGTGACTGTGTGACTTTTTTGCCTATCACCGCTTCCAATGATAGTCGTCACTAAGAGGTATGCATGCAACATCTTAATTGACTTTTATGATAAAATTGGGCAACTGGAGGTAATTGGCAATCACTGTACTTGATTTTGGCAATCACTGTTCTTGATTTGATAACGATATTTTCACTATTATGTTACATAATTATTATATGAGAAGTTTTACTGGTAAAAATTGATTGCAAGCTTTAATTTAAGCTAACCACAGATTGAGTCAAAAGTAGCAAGTTGACGCTATTTATATATTTTTTACCTGTTTAAAACATTTGTTACGGAACATAGTTAATTATTTTGAGATGTCATATATCAATGGTAGAATGCTAAATATAGAAAAGCTAAAAATTAATTAGTAGATCTACATGAAGTTGTATCAAGTGATTCACTATGGCCACAGTAAACTGCTTCGGAGAAAATGCAAGACGAATCAATAACATATATATGTGTACACAGTATCTTGATTTGAAAGTGCACGCAGTATCATAATGTTTATTGCCTGCAAAAAGTTCGTTTTCAGACATTTTCGTACAAAGGAAAAATAACAAAGGTTGAAAATATATTTGTGAAATAGATTCTATAATAAATTAACTTCCAGTTCTGTAACATTTTACAAATAATATAACATTCGATCTATAATGAAATAATAAACATATTAGGATGAACATATAATTATCAGAGTGTTGCATTACTTAAGGATTATTTCTTATGTCATAGCAGCGGTAAGTGCATGTTCATTTGATTATAAAATACATGTACATGTATTCCAATCCGTATACTGGGATCAAAGATAAATAGAGAAAGGGCATTTTAAACGCCGGGTGTACGCACGCGAAATACTGACAAGAAAGGGAAGACTTGTGTCAAGGCATTTGAAATATTAAAACTACAAATAAGGACATCTTTTTGCAAAAGAAATTAAATTCAAATCTATTCTGATTACTTTAAATTTTTGATGAATTTGTCATCTTTGTCGTCTGTCAACAGTAATAAAAAGACGGGGAAGTAATACATATGTACCTTGTTACATTCTTCTTTATTCTGATATTTCATGATTTTTTTCTTTATCTTAGATCTATACAAAAAATTCATACATGTATATACAATGATTGCTGACAAAATATCTGCCACTGTGTTGATGGCAAGAGAAAATGGGTATTTGAAAAGATGGTATAAAAATTGAGCATGATATTTATTATTGATTTAATAGTGTTAAGTGTAATAGATCTATTACCAAAATAAAATAATGATTATCATAAGAATTATGGTAATCATGTGAAGGCCTTCTGAGTAGATATCAGTGTGCCGGTGGTTCGATAGGTGATGCTTGTTCGAGACTCAAGAAAGACGATATAGAATTGTCCGCCAATTAGAAATTACATAATACTTGTATAGTGTTCCGTCCCAAAGCTTTTTCCAGATTGTTTAGCTTTTGTGTGTTTGGTAGTAGCTGTAAGCTAGGCAAAACTTACAGCAAGCAGGAGTTTTTCTAACGGTTTCATGCCCTGATATATACCCTGGATGCCCTGATATATACCCTGGATGCCCTGATATATCCCCTGGATGCCCTGATATATACCCTGGATGCCCTGATATATACCCTGGATGCCCTGATATATACCCTGGATGCCCTGATATATACCCTGGTCTGTTGTCAGACATGATAATGATATAAAAGTGTATTTGTCATAGATATCATGGTAATGTAAAAGTGGTAATTATAGTGGATACATGTTTATCGTAAAGAGGATTAAAGAAAGGTTGTTGTTATGGTCGTTGTCGATATCGTTACTGTTGTTGATGATGATGCAATACGCAATATGATGGATGTAGAAAAATAGATATTTGAAATAATGGTGTAAAAATGACTATGATGTTAAGTATTGATTCAATAGTGTATGATTATCATGGTAATGTTAAAGGTGATAAGAGAAATGTTGTTGTTGCTGTTGATGATGATAATGTGGAGTAGAAGGAGGTGGTTTTGGAGGACAATGATGATGATGATGTATTTGTGATGATTTATATATCGATGATGATGAAATAATGATGATGCAAAATAATGGTTAGAGAAAAATGCATAATTGAATGGATGGTATAAGACATGATGATGAAATTTTTGTACTGATATAAAAGTGTATTTATAATAGATATCATGGTAATGTAAAAGTGGTAATTATAATAGATATATGTTTATCGTATAGAGGAGTACAGAAAAGTTGGTGTTGTGGTCATTGTTGTTATCGTTATTGATGATGATGATGCAATATGATGGATGATGGATGTAGAAACAAGGATAGTTGAAAATAATGGTGTAAAAATGACGAAGATGTTAAGTATTGATTTAATAGTGTGCAAGTTGGTTATAATCACCAAAAACAGTTCCACACACTTATGTTTTCTGTGATTATCTAATATGATGGACACAGGTCCCATAACTCTTAGTTACCATTTACAGAGTTATGCTCCTTTTGATTACTGTAGTCGAGCCTCCTGTCTTACTAACTGTTCTTACAACATAGTAATACCTGCTCTGGGTAAATATATAGATAAATAAGACGTACATATTTATTATTTCTAAACATATTATTTTTTAAAAGTTCTAAACATATTATTACTTAGGTTCAACAGAATTTTTAGTTGTTACACTTAAATCTATTTAAGAAATTGATGGCAGTTTTGTTTGGCTTTGATAAAATTTATGTAGGCATTTTATCATTAGATCTTTATAAATATGTTTTGTAATAGTTTTGGAGTTTGGGGTTTAATAATTTTGTAGTTTGATATTTCTAAAATGATAGGAAAAAATAAATATAAATATGATACAAGAAAATAATAACTTTGAATATAAATTGTTGAAAGTTGCATTGATATTTTACATAAGGATAAAGGGAAATTTTTAATTATTTATAGTTTTGATATTAAAATAAATCATTTTTGCTATTGTGAAAAAAAAACAACAGAATATTATATGAAATTCTGATGATTGCAGTGACTTTCCTGCTTTAATATAACAGACTCTGATAAAAGGCCTCTTCCCAATTGAAATTTTCTTTAAAATCATGCAGTTTTCCAAAAAACTTTAACCTGCTTTTTGTGTTGCCTCTACGGAGTAGTGGCGACATATAGGGATCGTCTGTCTGTCCGTCTGTCTGTCTGTCCATCCGTCCGTCACAAAACTTGTCCGGACTACTCCTCATAAACTACAGGTGCAATTTCATCCAAACTTTACAGGAATGATCAGTACCAAGTATAGTTGTGCATATTGTCAGCATTTTCCGGTTCAATGATTTTTGTTTGAGTTATGGCCCTTTAATAATTTTTATTTTTAAAGTTTGTCCGGACTACTTCTCTTATACCACTAATGCAATTTCAATGAAACTTAAAAGGATTGATCTGTAGCTCAAGTCCTTGCGCATATTGCACGGGTTTTCCGGTTGAATGATTTTTGGCTGAGTAATGGCCCTTTGATAAAAAGGTGTTTTTTTTCTGTGTTGCCAGATACGCAAAAGCTTGTCCGGACTACTCCTCATAAACTACTGGTGCAATTTTATCCAAACTTTACAGGAATGATCAGTACCAAGTCTAGTTGTGCACTGTCCGTCTGTCTGTCTGTCCGTCTGTCACAAAATTTGTCCCAACATGAAATTGGCCATCATGAGGCGACACATGTGATTACTGATCGCTCTTGTTTACTTCCCAAATTAGCAATTTTAGCGGTCAAGTTTTTCCCAAAATCAAGTGGCTAAAGGCTTCTTCCTAATTAAGTGAGAAAAATCACTGGATATTTGTTAAAAATTTGATATACTTTGAAAAATGTAAAAACCATGTAGACAATTATATTGTGCATTAAATTTCAAACTCCTATTTGCATGGCATTGAAATTGAGATAAATTAAACAGTGTGAATGTTTATGAATAAAGCTTAATCTTATTACACATAATTAAATGTCATCAATCTGATTTGTTTTGGTATTACTGTTGCTAAAATAAGTTTCATTTTATCATACACTATACGCCAGACTTACTATTTAGAAGGCTTAAGAGATTACGTTATTTTAAAAAAAAATATTCACATGATTAAACAATACTTTAGCCACGTCACGACAAAACCAACGTTTGCAACAAGCATGGATCCAGACCAGCCTGCGCTTCCACGCAGTCTGAGCAGGATCCATGCTGTTTGCTATCAGTTTCTCTATTTGTAATAGGGTTTGTAAGCAAACAGCATGGATCCTGATCAGACTGCACCAATGCACAGGTTGGTCTCAGGATCCATGCTGGTCGCAAACACAATATGTTGGTTTTGTCATGATGCGGCTCATTTATGGTCATGTTGGTTATATCAAAGATTATTCATGTGAAATAAACTATAAAAGTGACTGCATTATACTTGAAAGATGTAAAGTTATTGTGACCCACCATTTACGCTTGGATAGGCATACACCTCTAAAACTTAAACAGATGATGGATTGACACACTTAAATGCTGATGGATTAATTAATGTCCCAAATTGATCAACATGTGCTACTTTAATAGAACTTGAGTAAATATACTTGTATCTCTTATTAAAATCGACTGTTAGATACACAATATAATCGTTTAACATTGACCTTTCATTAGTATGGTTTACCAGCAGTGTTACTTATATTGCACTGAAATTATTCTTCAGTTACACTAGAGAACATTAATTTTCACTGTACAGTCAGGTAGGGTTTTTTATTTCCTTTTTAAAGGTAACTTTCATTGAAAAAGAACAATTTTCGTACAAATAATTTATGAATACAAATCAGTCACATGGTCTATCCTCTCAAAGCAGATAATATTTCATTTTCTGTTCAATAAACTTTGTAAAGCCTTAAGACTATTAGCCTGGATTACCTGCCCTTTTCTCTGCGTTCAATACTAAAAATTTGTAGTACAAAGGGAACCAGACTTTATTTGTGACTTATAATGTCATGTAACCAGGAAGTAAATGCACCAACATGTCTCGACAAATATTTGGATACATTATTATTGAATGTGTTTTATGAAGATTCATCAGAGACTTTTTTATTGATTTATCAGGTATTTAAAGTTCATATTCACTTTTAAACAAAAGAAAAAAATAAATATGAAGGTTATGGTTACAATGTATTTTTATGCATGCATGTATTTTTTAATTTACAAAAAAGTATGGCATTTAGTAATTTGAAAGTATTGTTTAAATTACATTTCTTAAAGAATGGGGGATCATATTCATGTCTCACTGCGAGGGCAAGATGATAATCCAGGAATAGGGGGCACAGGTATAGGCCCCTACAACTGACTGGTACATGCTTTAATAGCTACTTCTAAAAAGTAAAGTTTAATGAATTAATTTTTATAGGTTAATAATTTAGGAATTTAACATGACATGTACTAGATAAGTATATAACAATCTTACAATGATTTAAAAAACCATGAAATGATATAAAGTTAATTTTGACACCAAAATCCACAGTTCAAAAATTTAAATACATGTACATTATATTCAAGGTTCTGTGACCATATATTGTTCAGTTACTGTATCTATTTAGTTTAATTTCAAGATCTTGAAGATGGAGAGGAAAATTATCATTTACCATGGGTCAGTTAAAGATTGATTAGGCCTATATACTAACTGATGTAATTGAGTACAGGAGCTTGATATTCTTACAGTAAATAAAAATTAAAGTCAAATATGTACACAGTATATGTACACTATATAATTAATAATTTTTTATCTATTATATAGGGGGCATGATCATATTTGACTTTAATTCTTATTTATACCCCTGAAACGAAGTTTTTGGGGGTATAATAGGAGTCACCCTGTGGTTGGTCGGTCGGTCAAGCCGTCCGTTGCATTTTCCTTGTCCGGATAATAACTTAAAAGACTATTGGTTGGAATTCAATACAAGTTCATACTATGGTCAAGCACATTGAGAGGAAGACCAGTGCACAAGAACCATAACTCTATCTTCAATTATTACAGAGTTATTGCCCTTTGTTACTTTTCTTTGTCTGGAGAATAACTTGAAAACTACAGGTTGAAATTCAATACAACTTCATACAATGGTCAAGCACATTTAAAGGGGAAGTGCAGTGCACAAGAACCATATCTCTATCTAAAGTATTTACAGAGTTATTGCCCTTTGTTACTTTTCCATTGCTTTCTTTTCTCCGGGCCATAACTTAAAGACAAATATAACTTCATACAATGGGCAAGCACATAGAGAGGAAGTGCAGTGCAAAAGAACCATAGCTCCATCTTGACTAATTACAGAGTTATTGCCCTTTGTTACTTTTCATTGTCAGGAGCAATTAACTTGAAAAGTCGTGGTTGGAATTGAAATCAACTTCATACAATGGTCAAGCACAATAAGAGGAAGTGAAGTGCTCAAGAACCAAAACTCCATCTTGATAAATTACAGAGTTATTGCCCTTTGTTACTTTTCCTTGTCTGGTGCATAACTTAAAAAATAATGTTTAGAATTCAATTCAACTTCATACAGTGGTCAAGCGCAATGAGAGGAAGTACAGTGCTCAAAGAAATTCAATAAAACTTCATCAATAGTAAACCACATTAAAAGAAAATGCAACATGTTAGAACCACAACTATCTTTAATTGCCCATAAACATAACTATTTCAATTCTTTTCCAAGGTATTCTGTTACTAGTAACTTCCTCATTTCCGAAGCAGTCTTGCGGGGATATTAATCACATTTAGTGATAGTTTTAGTATATTGATAGAATACCAAGCTCCTGTGGTTAGTATGAAATAAGCATGTATTAATAATTGTTTTCCTAAAATATGACCTTGTAATACATATGAACCATTTGCCCCTCACCACTTTGGGTTCCAATCCCCACATGGACTTTGGATTTTTTCATGTGAGGAAGCTCAGATAATGCAGCTAGCTTACAGAACGTCAGTGGTTCTACTTAGGTGACCTTCCATGCCTGAAACAATGCATAGAAGGTCACCTGAGGTCTCCCTCAACCAGTAAAACTGGAACATCCCCATATGATCTATCTATACTGTGTCAGTGTGCGGTAAAACCCAAGTGATCAAACAAACAAAAGATATATGAATAAGCAATAACAATCAAGTCCCAGAACTATTTATTATATTAAAATAATGCACATTATATACTTTTATATTCTAGATAAACCATGGCTGTCCATGGGAAGAAAGCACCGCATCCATATTTGCCCTCTGTCATTGATTCTGATGAATACCTGGAGGTCTACTGTCAACCATGTAACATTGAAGGAGAAAGGATTCCTGCTCATGGCTTTTGTACAGACTGCAATGAGCACCTTTGTGGAACTTGCTTCAAGCTTCATAAGAAACATAAACTCTCAAGAAATCACACCCTTCTAGACAAAGAAAATATGCCTAAAAGAATGCATGCACCAACATCTTCATCTGTTCATCTGCATCAGTCTGATGAACTAACCAAAGCTTGCTTAAAACACCAAAAAGAAATGATCAAATTTTACTGTCATGACCATAAAGAGTTGCTATGTAGTGTTTGTGTTACACTCCAGCATTCAGCTACATTATGCAAAGTCGACTACATACCCGACATTTCTGTAGATATTACCGACAGTAAATACTATAATGATATCCTTAGAAATTTGGATAGAGTAACTGATCTCTGTAAGAAAATATCAGAGGATACAAGAAAGATAATAGCAAAATCTGAAAAATCTGTGACAGATGCATTGGCGGACATCAGGAAGTTCAGAAAAGAAATAAATCAAAGACTTGATGAATTAGAAAATCAAGCAGAAGATGATGCTGAAGCCCTTCAAGAAGAGATCAGAATTAATCTAAAGACAGTGGAGAGAAACTGTGAGGATACAGCCACATCTTTGAAGACAACTACTGACTTTATTAAACGTTTGAACGCAACGGGACAAGCAGACAGATTATTCATGGAATTGAAGATGACGGAACAAATGATCGAAGAATGCGAAAAGAAAGTTCAACAAGTGCCATCATACAATTATGAAGAATATACCTTTCAAGCAAATCATGATCTTTCAGCCTTTTTAAAGAATGATATGGCATTTGGTACATTTTCCAAGAAACCAGCGGAAGAACCAAGTGTTTCATCATCTGATCATGTAAGAACCAGACAAGCTAATCTTCAGACCAAAATTTGTGTAAAGACATCAGAAGATAATGAGATATGCAGAATATCAGGTATGACTCTCTTTACTCCAGATCTTCTTATCATCACTGATAACAGAAACAAAGCTGTTAAATTAATTGATGTCAGAGGTCATTCTATTATACACCAGATAGATGTAGATGGTAAACCTTGTGATATTACAGCTATTAGCAGTACTGAATTAGCTGTCACACTTCCGGATCAGAAATTGATTCAATTCATATCAGCATCCACGAGCAGATTGTCAATGAAAACTGCTTTAAAGGTTAATGGAGAGTGTTATGGTATTAGTTGTTACAAAGGGAGATTAGTTGTGTCATTCTGTAACCCAGCAAAACTCCAAATCCTTGATGTCAACGGAACAGTTCTGACAGATTTCACAGGAGAAAATATCTTCAGCAATCCGGTATATGTTAAAGCTTGCAGTGATTTTATATACGTATCAGACTGGAAGAAGGGAACAATTACAAGGTTAAACTGGCAGGGTGATGTGGTTGGTATCTACAATGGTATGGATTGTCCTTCCGGCTTTACACTGACAAACAAAGGTACACTTTTTGCTTGTGATTACAGCAAAGAGGTAGTAGAAGAAGTGTCAAGTGACTGCTCTGAAGGAAACATTCTTATGAGTGATTTAAAGAGACTAGAAGCTCTCTGTTGGTGCGGAGAAACAAATAAACTGTACTTTAGCACTTTTACTGGTGATATAAAATATGACAACTTTCTTCAAGTTTACAAGTTGTCATAAATATCTAAATCCTTATCATATACTATACTGTATACATGTTGAACATAAAAGTATTTACTTTGTTTGAAAGTGAACATAAATTAAAATACAAATGTACGTAATATGCATTTACACTCAACAAATAATATGCTGACAACCATTACAAAACACCAGTATATCCATCATGATATGTACTCAGTAGTAGGAGGTATGAGCATTATGATATATAACAAACATCATGGATTTCAATCATCATGGAACATTTTATTAGGGTTGATCTTGGGCTGTGGTAGAGTTGGTCAAAATAGAGGCACTGTGTCCGGATTTAGCGTTTACCGAAGTCAGTAGCGGTTGTGACCCTGTAATTTGTTATTACATCTCTCAGACGCTGTCGCATGGACCTCACTTAGTGTTGAATTGTTGGTATAGTGATGTTCTGCCAGTCCTGGCTCACACGTTTTGCAGTTGCTGTGGACGACATGTAAGTCTCAATCGGAGCTTATCTCACATGTGCTTGATGCACTTCATATCGATGTACACCGCAGGCCACTCAAGAATGTAGAATTGTGCAGACAAATTACCTTAAATCAAAGCAAACTCCAAACGAAAGTCATGTCCAATGACTCCCTAAACTGATCACACTACAATACAGGCGTACATCGGTACAAACTCTACCTTCGCCTAAAGACTTTTGTTATATTTTCAAACAGCCGTTTATATAGGGCCATATAACCTGTCAAAATTCTTTATAACTAATAAAATAACATTTAAGTTAATTTTTATTTTTTTGCTAAACCTAGTGATTTTTTGTGATTACAATTGTTCTTGTGAATTCATATTGTCTGATTCATAAATTATGTCCAAAATTAAAAATATTTTAACTGATTCTTTATAATTGTTTAATTGTAGTTTTGATTACATCCAATTATTAATTCAGGTTTTTGGTGAAAAATTAAAAGCATTTGTATCTAGTATTTTCAAATTTGACATTATGTTTTGCTTGAGTAACAAGGTAACAACATAGTTTGTCACTAATGCCAAGCTTATTCATAAGAAAAATCACTTAGTTTTATAGGGGCGTCCGTGGCCGAGTGGTTAAGGTCGTTGACTTCAAATCACTTGCCCCTCATCGCTGTGAGTTCAAATCCCGACAGGGACTTTGGATTATTTCATATGAGGAAGCTATCCAGCTAGCTTACGGAACGTCGGTGGTTCTACTCGGGTGCCTGTTTGTGCCTGAAATTATGCACGGAAGGGAACCTGAGGTCTTCCTCCACCAGTGAAAGCTGGAACGTCACGATATGACCTATGCTGTGTCGATGTGACGTAAAACCCAAAAAAAAACACTTAGTTTTATAAAGAATTTCTTGGGGGCCTGTGGGAATACAACTTTGTCCTATTAATTAACTTCAGTGATAAAATCCATCAAAATAGCACACTCAATAAATATTTCCTTACCTTGCATCAAGAGAATTCAAGAGGAATGAAATTAAGACAATTAAAAAATCTAGTACAAATTTCTGATTAATTCATTTTATTTATGTACAATGAAATATATACACAAAACCACATTTGAGCCGCGTCATGACAAAATCAACAAAATGGGTTTGCGACCAGCATGGATCCAGACCAGCATGGCATCCATGGGATGCAGTCTGATCAGGATCCATGCTGTTCGCTATCAGTTTCTCTACTTGTTATAGAGTTTGTAAGCGAACAGCATGGATCCTGATCAGACTGCATGGATGCGCAGGCTGGTCTGGATCCATGCTGGTCGCAAACCCATTATCTTGGTTTTGTCCTGACATGGCTCATTTCATAACATACTTTCTTAAATAAAGAATATACATACAAGAAGTGATGTAAAAAATAACAAGGAAATATTCTTATATAACAAAGATATTCATAAATCACTTTGTACAGTGGAAACAGTTATTACATTGATAACACAATTGTTATTAGCTTATTACATATAGACTTGAAACATGCAAGTCCAAGAAAATGTATATTTATAAGCTCGTAGTAATTTCAGTGACTTTTTTTCTTGTACAAAGTGATGGCAATATACTGACTTAATAAATTTGAAACACAAGGGGTTGGTTAAGCAGCATTATCATAAGAACCACACAAATATTGAGGATTTAAAATTTCCAAGAAACTCTGTTTGCTGAACTTTGTAAAACAATTTTTAAGCATAAAATAAGCATTTGATAAATAAGTTTGATTTCAAATACAAGCAATATTATGATATTATCTAAGTATCAATGAATTAATTTTTAAAGTACATGTCATTATTGCTGACCTATATAATTGATGTTAAAAGTCTTAAACAGGAATAAAGTGCACATCTGTTTTTAATTCTTAAACCATAAATTTCATTAAAAAATATTTTTTGCTTTGATGTATTTGGTTTTTATTTCCGCATTAATACAATACTTTTTAGCACAAAATATTAAATATCGAAATCGTCGTCAGAATTATTTTTATCCAGTTGAAAGAAGTCTATCACTTTCATCTGGGTTTTGTTGATTGCCATGATTGGTTTAATTGCTGCCATTAAACTAGAAAATATCCGTGGAAACATGATTTCCTGCGATGCAAGAAGCTGTTGTATTCTGTGACGTTCTTTTGGTGCCTCGAAACATGCTGGACAGTTCTCGGCAATAACAGGAAGTTTGTTCTGCAAAGCATCATATAATACAATTATAATGATAAAAATATATGCATACAAGGGTGGATAAAAAATATGTCGACTTTAGTTATAACTTAAAAACTACTTGAAGTAAATCAATAAGATTGTCCCGAGTAGGTACCCCTGGAGCAACTGCATAGTATTAATATCTTTGTTGTCTCTCTACATAGGCGCAAAACCATACCAAACAACAGCTGCTTATTTTTTGACATATGTAACATTTAGCTTTAATAATTAATTTTGTAATATTTAACTTTAGAATATACAGCTAGTAAGCTAAAAACAAACACAGAAATCATAAAATTACAAATGGCAGCAGGAAGAGAACCGTGCAATCATAAGGGATTGTGTGGACCTAGGGAAAACACCATGAAAATGATGAAGGGTGCTGATCGATCTTCTTGACATTATTACTCTGTGCACAAGTAACATTGCATTAACCAGTTAAAAATGGTTGCTATGGGATACCCACTGGACCCAAACTTAAACATAGAAAAATGCTGATATATAACTACTATGCATATTTGACCATACTATATGTACAAACATAATTAATGAAAGGAAAGTCCATATATCTTTTGATGCACTCTGACGTTTTAAATTAATCCTGTCTGCTTCACAAAATATTTACATACATGAATCAATTAATATTTTGTTCACTTGATATCCTCTTTTATTGGTAATAAGTTGTATAAGTTGTTTCAAATATATGTCAGAAAATAGAAGTAAAATTTGTAAATGAAAGTAAGTAAATACAAAACAAAAATTTTATAAAAAATATCACGTTTTATGCATGATTTTGAACCACTTGCCCCTCACCGCTGTGGGTTTGAATCCCAACAGGGACTTTGAATTCTTTCATGTGAGGAAGCTATCCAGCTAGCTTACTGAACTTCAGCGACTCTACTCTGCCTAAAATAATGCACTGAAGGGCACCTGAGGTCTTCCTCCACTAGTAAAGCTTGAATCTTTCAAATATTTTTGAATGTCCATTAGGACATCGTCAAGGTTGTAGTTTGAGTCCAATTTTGTTTGCTTTGTTTATTAATGAATTGTATATTTTAATGGTGGAAAATGATATCAGAGGTATCCAACTTTTTCCTGAAATTGTGGAAGTATTTTTACTTTTGTTTGCTGATGATATAGCATTACTTTCAGATACTATTGTCGGTCTACAAAAACAACTAAACTTGTTACAACAATTTTGCATTAGTAGTAAACTTGTAGTTAATATTGAAAAAACTAAAGTACTTGTATTTAAAAGAGGTGGTCAGTTATCTAGAAGAGAAAAATGGCAGTAAAATGGTAACCATTTAGAAATTGTTAGTGGTTTCACATATGTTGGAATATATTTTAGTAACAGATTATCTTTGTACAAAATGGCTGAGGCTATGGCCACCAAAGCGAAAAAAGTACTTTTGTATATTCTCAGTTCATTTCAACATATTTCTTGTTTACCACATAAAACATTTTTTAAAGATTTTTGATTGTAAAGTAGCATCCATAATGTTATATGGATCAGAATTGTGGGGTCTTAAAGACAATAAATGTATAGAAACTATACAATTATATGCTTGTAAACGTTTTTTGAATGTCAATGTTTCTGCTTGTAATGACGCTATTCTTGGCGATCTAGGCAGATACCCAATTTTTATATTTGCTGCAAAACGTTGTATTAGATTTTGGTTGAGACTTATAAATCTCCCTAGAGATAGATATACACGCTTATGTTATGAAATGCTGATGTGTTATGAGACAGTATTGGATACAAAAATTGGGTGACTAATATACGATTAAACCTATATAAAAATGGATTTGGATACGTATGGGAGGCACAGGTTGTAGCCAATCCTAAATTATTTATAGTGCAATATGAACAGTGTCTAAAAGACCAGTTTGTGCAAAATTGGCAATTAAAGTTTCTAGAAAATGTAAAATTAAATCATTATGTTATGTTTAAGACTACCTTTAAAAAGTGAAAAATATATTTCTGTTATAGATATTGACAAGTATAGAAAATGTTTTGCTAGTTTTAGAAGCTCTTCACATTGTTTAATGGTTGAAAAAGGTAGACATTTTAATATTGATAGAGAACATCGTGATTGTATGTATTGTGAATCAATGTTAGAGGACGAATATCACTTTCTTATTGTGTGTTCTTTATTTGCAAATTTATGTTCTTACTATATACCATTGTATTATTATCAATATCCGAATGTTCAAAAGTTCTACTCTTTAATAGCAACTGAAGACGAGTCATTGATACGTAATGTTGCTATGTATATTTATTATGCAATGAAAGAAAGAGATAATTTCCTTAAATGTTTTGAATAATTTATATTCAGATAGTACATTATAATTGTATTAGAAATTCGTATTGCCAATTTGTATTGTATATTGTATACACTGTGTATGGGCCGGAGGCCTCTTGTACAATAAAGATATTGAATTGAATTGAACATTGCCATATGATGTATAATGTGATGGTGTGAAGTAAAACCCAATTAAACAAACTAGCATTCTGACATACTTACATTTTCAGCAAACATTCTCAAATCCTTCTCTCTGACATAGACAAATGGTCTGATCACCCTTAAATCCCCTGCTCTGTAAAATATAACAAACATTATTTAAATCCCCTTCTCTGTAAAATATAACAAAACATCATTTTTATTATAAACAAATTGTCTTCTTACTCTATGTAAAAAAATAACATAAATCTCATATAGAGTACATACAGATACACAATAAATCCTTGTCATAGACTACTCTTGACCCTTTATTAACCTGCTGATTTCTTTAATTCCTTTTTAGCTCACCTGTCACAAAGTGACAGGGTGAGCTTTTGTGATCGCTTTTCGTCCGGCGTCCGTCGTCCGTCCGTCGTCCGTCGTCCGTAAACTTTTACTTTAAATGACATCTCCTCATAAACCACAAGGCCAATTTCATCCAAACTTCACAGGAATGTTCCTTTGGTGGTCACCTTTAAAAATTGTTCAAAGAATTTAATTCCATGCAGAACTCTGGTTGCCATGGCAACCGAAAGAAAAAACTTTAAATATCTTCTTTTAAAAAACCATAAGAGCTAGAGCTTAGATATTTGGCATGAAACATCTTCTAGTGAGTGTCTACCATGTTTGTTCAAATAAAAGCCCTGGGGTCAAAATTGGCCCCGCCCCGGGGGGTCATTGATTTTCCCTATATGCATATAGTAAAAACTTAAAAAATCTTCTTTTAAAGAACTCAAAGAGCTATGGCTAAGATATTGAGCATCAAACATGTTCTAATAGGTGTCTACCAAGTTTGTTCAAAGAAAAGCCCTGGGGTCAAAATTGGCCCCGCCCCAGGGTCATTGATTTTCCCTATATGCATATAGTAAAACCTTAAAAAATCTTCTTTTAAAGAACTCAAAGAGCTATGGCTAAGATATTGAGCATCAAACATGTTCTAATAGGTGTCTACCAAGTTTGTTCAAAGAAAAGCCCTGGGGTCAAAATTGGCCCCGCCCCAGGGGGTCATTGATTTTCCCTATATGCATATAGTAAAAACTTAAAAATCTTCTTTTAAAGAACCAAAAGAGTTAGAGCTAAGATATTTAGCATTAAACATGTTCTAATAAGTGTCTACCAAGTTTGTTCAAATAAAAGCCCTGGGGTCAAAATTGACCCCGCCCCGGGGGGTCATTGATTTTCCCTATATATGCATATAGTAAAAACTTAAAAAATCTTCTTTTAAAGAACTCAAAGAGCTATGGTTAAGATATTTAGCATCAAACATGTTCTAATAGGTGTCTACCAAGTTTGTTCAAATAAAGCCCTGGGGTCAAAATTGGCCCCGCCCCGGGGTCATTGATTTTCCTTATATGTGTATA